CTCAACCTTGGCCACTTTAAGACTTGTGGACTTCAATTCCCAGAGTTGGCAAAGCTGGCTGAGGAATTCTGGGAGTTGAAGTCCACAGGTCTTAAAGTTGCCAAAGTTGAGGACCCCTGGGCTAGAGTACCAAAGCAATTAGTAAAAAAAATTGGTAAAATTCGTAAAAAAAATATCTCCTAGACTTATTGTTTTATAACCTAGTGTAAAGGTAAATGAAGTAAGCTCTTTTCTTAATTCTGTCTTCTTTACTGCTGTTCACATACTAATTTGTCAAAACTGTCTTAACTGTATGGACATAAAAACAGCTGAATTGTTTGTATTCTCTCTTGGAGCCAACCGTGTCTGCTTTTCTTTTAAGAACTATATGGATTATTTATCACGTTTATATGATAGAGAGATAAAGGACTTCTTTGAAGTGGCCAAGATTAAAATGACAGGCGCAACTAAGGAAGGAAAGAAGTTTGGTAAGTTTTTATATATATATATAAAAAAATGAAATACTGAAGAATCTTTTTTGCAGTTGATCACTCAGAATGTAACGGAAATACAGAATTATTTCAAGCATCTTAAAATATCTCTTTGCTAGATGTAAATAAATATCATTTACTCATTAGTAATAATCATGCCTCAGACAAGTCTCAGCCCTATGCATAAAAAGGGAGATAAATAAGAAACTATAACGTCATCTTCTGCAACACGTTCACCAGAAATGAAATAAAGTTGCAGACATCCTACAAAGTTGTTAAAATTGTTAAGAGTTTGAGAGGAAGCTCAGTGTTGTTGTGTAAATTAGATAATAACAGTGAGCCTTGTTTAACTGTTGTTGGCGCTACCTAATTTTCTATGGATGTGTTTCCAGCCAAGCAGGATTTCTCTTAAATGCTGTTGATGGATCCTAGGAATGGAGCCTTCTAAATATCTTAGTTATGGAACGTACACACACACAAACACACACACACACACACAGACACCTTTCCAGCCATATACAGGTCGTCCTCAACTTACAACAGTTTGCTTAGTGACCGTTCAAAGTTACAAAGGCACTGAAAAAAATGACTTATGCCTGTTTTTCACACTTATGACCATTGCAGCATCCCCATGGTCACGTGGTCAAAGCTTCAGAAAGGAAATATTTAATGTGGTAGTTTGAGACTTGTACTAAAGATACTTGTATGTCATTGAATTATCGATTAACTCAGCCGCCACGTTGCTTTTTAAAATACTTAAATGTAAAATTAGAAAATCAATAAAACATTATTAAAAAAAAAAAGCTTCAGACGCTTGGCAACCGACTCGTATTTATGACAGGTCACGCGGTCCCTATTGCGTCCTTTTGACAAGCAAAATCAACGGGGAAACCAGATACCACTTAACAACCGTGTCACTAATTGTGACAAACTGCAGTGATTCGCTTAACGACCGGGGCAGGAAAGAGCGTAAAATGGGGCAAAACGTACTTAACGAATGTCTCACCTTAGCAACAGAAATTTTGGGGCTCAATTGTTGTTGTAAGTCAAGGACGACCTGTATACAATTACCTTTTTGGAGGGAAGAAAATGCATGCTACTTCTAGCAGCTTGGTTTTTGTTTTGTTTTTTTAATCAGCAAGACTGCTTTTTGGTGTTTTTTTAATGGAAAACAAGTAGGATATTGACGGGATATAGGGAGAAGCCATTAAAAAAATACACATAATTCTGTTTCTATGAGTAAACAGATCTTTTCTTGACATGCCGTTTGAGTTAGGCTGGATCCAGAATCTTTTCTTCCTTCAAGAGTAGAACATTGATGTAACCAGCCAGAGCCTGCCCAATGTAGAAGAATATAAATATTGCTATGTCCAGCTAAATTCTTAATGCATTTGCTCCATTTTAAAATGGTTGAATATCCATATCCTTGATGTTTTCTTTTTTTAAAAAAAAAAGTCACTCTTTGATTGCATTGTTTTAACTTTTAACTATTTACAGATGTGGAATTATCTGAAATATGTTTTGTTTGGTCTGCATTTGATGAAAAAAATCCAGTAAGACAAACTGGCAGTTATGAGATACTGCATTTCTAAGTTTAGCTTAATATACCTGGTGTGTAGAAAAGATCTCTCTGGCTGTCTACTCTAAAAATATAATCTCTCAGCTAAATCTTAACAGAGGTTCATTATGTTCTTATGTTAACTGGTTTTATCACAACCTTTTTCTTCCTGTGATAGATCAGAATAGATTTAGTCATGGGTATCTGCAGCAGACAGTCAAGCTGTGTCATACACAAATGATATCATTGCACAAATGATGCAAATTGTATATTTGTGTGGTATGCATAGCTTACTTGGAAGTAAATCCACTTGAATTCTATGACTTTATTTCTAAATAACCAGGTACAGGATTCCACTGAACTGTATTTCCTGTGGGCATTTTCTAACTATACCATCAATCATTTGGTCAGCTGATATTAGTTGAGAATGTAATTTCCAGATTTCTTTAAGTATTAGATTAACATTGTCTCTGATTTTGTATTTGCAATTGCAATGTTTGTCCCCTCCATCTGTGCACAAACCCAGACACAGTTACATTACAGCAAAAGGGATAGAAAACAATCCTGTATTACACATGAAAAACTTATTATTAACCTATCCAAGTTGTAAAAAAATGAGGCTATTTGTATGCTTTTGTAAAAAGACACACCTTTGCCTCATGCAGTGACGTACACTTTAAAGATTTGATAAGCCTTTCACAGTTTTCCTTAGTGGACTTCAGGGACTTTTGAGGAAGATTTCTCCGGAAAATGATTATTTGATGTTGCTGTATAAAGTAGCATTTTATCTCTTGGCTCACAACTTGGGTTGTCCCATTATGGTCGGGAAGAGCCTAAGAATACAAGGCTGAAGATGTCAAATTAAGAGAGGCACTAGAGTCTAGAAGATGACCAAGGAAAGTGGATTTCTTCATACAGTCCAAGAAAATTATATCCATATCCCTTGTCATGCTGCAGAGAACTTCCAGATTAGGGTAAAATAGCAATAGCATTTAGACTTATATACTGCTTCACAGCGCTTTAAAGCCCTCCCTAAGCGGTTTACAGAGTCAGCCTGTTGCCCCCAAACAATCTGGGTCCTCATTTTACCAACCTCGGAAGGATGGAAGGCTGAGCCAACCTTGAGCCGGTGAGAATCGAACTCCTGGCATTGAGCAGTGAGTTAGCCCACAACATTTCACTTCTAACCACTGCACACCACTACGGCTTTTTCTTTAAAAAATAAAAACACAATTGCCCTTAAATCAAACTTGACTCCTGGTAACTACATAAGGCACATCCATGTAGTTTGGTTTGCAGCAATGCAGAAAAAGGTGCACACAGGTAGTCCTTGACTTACAGTCGTGTTTTTTTTTAACAGTCATTCAAAGTTGCAGTGGCATTGAAAAAAGTGAATTACGACTGGTCCTCGCACTCACAACCACCGCAGTATCCGTAGCATTCCAGGGTCATGTGATTGCTATTTGCGACCTTTTTCAGATGGCTTCCGACAAGCAAATCCCTGGGGAAAACCCGATTCACTTAACAACCATATGATTTACCTATAACTGTGGCCAAAAAGGTTATAAAATCAGGCGCAATTCACTTAGCAGCTGCCTTCCTTAGCAGCTGAAATCCTGTTTCCAATTGTGGTTGTAAGTCAAGGACTGCCTGTTTAGTCACTGTTAATAAAATGCCCTGCAATCCAAATAGGTGTCCCAGGATGTTATGTGAACACTGTAAAAGATCCTATCGCACATTTTGTCCAGTTCAGATCTCGCGGCTTCTTTGGGCTGCCAGATTCTTTGAGCAAGATCTGCTTTCTCTTATAACTTGTGCGCACCTGATGCACCATCTTCATTCAGGATTCACAACCATTTGTGTTTGTGGTTCCCCCTTCTGGATAAAAATTGGGAAATCATGGAGAGGCTACTTAACACGTATGTCCTGCATATTTCAATATATTCCACCTTAGTGCCTTCCCAGCTGTGTACGTTTGCAACTTGTAGTTACTTGCTTCTGATAGTTCTCTGCATGTTTCTTTCCACCTAGTGCTTAACTTGCATCTCGTGCATGATTTGTGCCAAATGCATATTTAACTTGTCTTTGTCTTTGATGCTTGCAACCTAATTCATCCCAGCCACCCTGCCTCGAAAAGAAAGTGCTGTCAAACAGGAAACAGAGAGTGAGTATCACTAGAGCTTTTAAGTGGTTATGGCCAGTGCATTTTATGTTTTGGTAAACCAAAAAGCAAAATTATCACGGCAAAAACCTGTGAATTGTCAGATGCAGTGTTTTTTGCACTGATCTGAGGTACAGGAACAGCAAATGTTCAGTCGGGGAAGCAGCAAACAATACCTGAATGCTGTAGAAGATTTCCAGTGGGAGTTGAGTCGGGGGCAAAATAAAACGTGTTTTAAGATTGACGTTCAAATTAGGGAGATCGCATCTTCCTCATATTTCTTGGAATATGAGAAAAGTATTTTGAAGTCCAGGAGGTCGACCCTGTGAATGAATCCACGAGGATTGGCAGGGCACGCAGGACAGCTGCAAGCCCAGCGCAAGGAACTTAAAATGGTTAAATAATGCTAGCATGGAATTCTTCTGCATCACATCATCCTTATTCATTATGGGAATACCATTTTGTGCATACGAAATCTGACTGGTGGAGGACTTTCTTCCCAGACATCGTCCTCTACCCTTCAGCTTAACTTGCAGCAGTGTGAACTTGCACACTGATATTTAGGCTTCTATATTTGTTATTCTCAAGTAGCTACCGGCAGTTAATTTTGAGAAACATTGTCCCCAGGGTGCTACCTGACTTCTCGCTTACATTCTTGTGGCCAAGTAAATGATTTCAGACACAACACGCCTGCCCACCTTTGTTAGTCTAAGATCTATGACACGATTGGTATTCAGTGGCATTGCCATCTGCATGGGCATCCAGTCATCTGTAACTTCCCCCCATGCATTGTTTGTTGAGAACTATTGTGCTGCTCTTTGAATGTGGGTTGTTGTGACAACACACATCAGGTTTCATGGCTTGAAGCTCCTGTGACCAGCATTTCATGAGACTGGGGTACTCTGGGTTGAGTATTACCTGACCACTATAGTGCAGGCACTTGTTTCAACTTACATGTTTATTTCCCTTAATTCCAGTCCCTTAATGCTGTAGTATAAAGCACTTTTGACTATATGAAGGATGATCTTCAAAGACGTGAGATTTCCAACCCAGTGTCCTACTGCAATTCCCTCATCATTTCAAATGTTCGGCTACTGAATTATAGTTTCTCAATTCAAGAATAAGCTTCTTTCTCCGGCGCACCAGCAAAGAAGGGTTTGGAAGACTTTAGATCAGTGGTGGCGAACCTATGGCACGGATGCCAGAGGTGGCACTCAGAGTCCTCTCTGTGGGCATTCATGCCGTCGCCCCAGTCCTAAGCCTTCAGCTGGGTTTTATAAAACCTTTTTGCTTTAGGCCTCCGCTGCCGTGTGCAGAAAAAAAAAGGTTCAATCAATCAATCAATCAATTTCAACTTCTTGTGGGAAAAAAAAGATCTTGCAAAGTTGGAATTGATTGATTGAACTTTTTAGTCCCCACCCAGTCTGCTGTTACCACCACAGCCATGCCCACCCAATGGGCCACACCCACCCAATTGGCCACACCCAGCCAGTGGGCCACACCCACCCGGCACCCGACGATGCATAAGTAGGTTTTGGGTTGCAGTTTGGGCACTCAGTTTCTAAAAGGTTCACCATCACTGCTTTAGATTAACCACTGTTTCTCTGAGTGGAATAGTTCAGTTAATCATAATTACTAGAAACAAGCTAGTTTCGTAAATGATGGTTGGAGGCTAGCTTCTTTTCACTGATTGTAGTTATGATTAACAGCAGTGCAGGGTGAGTAATGAATCATACTGACCAACGTCAGTTGTGACTCTAAATCCCTTCCCATTGCCCATGCCAATCTGGGCTGATGTGATTGGTGCTCAAAAACAGTTAAAGAGAAACTAGACATTCAAAAAAAGTTTCTTACGCCGTCTCAAACAATGATATGTCTGTAATTAAAGCAGAAGATTGCATTCTGCTCAAAACTCTAAGAGGGAGCTAAACAAAGGGTCTTCCTCGTAATTTAGAATTTCATTTGCCCATTTTAGAGGGTCAGCCACCCTTGGGTGGTGAAGGATGTAAGGGTTGGAAGCATGAAAAATGGGGATCCAATCCCCCCCCCACTCACTCACTGGAACTTTTTTTTAAGCGTGGAAGGAACACAACATTAAAATATTTTCTTCATCTGCAAGAATGGTCTTTTTCTCATTTCTTTCCAGTTGAAATGAAATATAATCAAACTGCAATACACTGAATAAAAGTTGTTAAGAGTAACTGGCACGGGAGAGGTTTCTCCTGGAAGGGCCCCCGAGAATGAGAAGGCTTTCCCTAATTTTTTTCCCAGGAGTTGGTTGCGTCTACTTTCTTCCTAAGAAAATAGTAATGCGTCGCTTCTGTTCCGCTTTGCTTCTAGAAGGTTCCCCTTCGTGAATTGTTCCTGGCCTTTCTGTCTGCCCTTACTTGTGCTCTTTTCTGGATCGCCAGTGGCCTTAGGCACTAGTCCTTGTATTGGCTGATCCTAAGTGTCTGTCATTCAGTGTGCACTTCTGAATCAGTTTATTTGTCTTCAGTGAAGCAATGGGGAGCCATTTGTTTGTTTATTCTGTAGGAAACGCCCTCATAAAATGCAGGTAGGTGAGGAAAATTGTTTTTAACGTATGATGCTTAACGGTGTGGCAACTTCTCATCTAGCTTGTGTTATGTCACAGGCCTTCACGGAAGCTCCGGGAAATTGACCGGCTCAACGTCTAGCTTGAACAAACTGTCCGTTCAGAGTTCAGGAAGTCGTAGATCTCAGTCGTCCTCGTTGCTAGACATGGGAAACATGTCCGCTTCTGACCTTGATGTAGCAGATAGGACTAAGTTTGATAAGGTAACGCAAAGATTCCGGGTATAATTGCATAACCAGTGTATTGCTCCCCCAAAATAGTAATTTAACACGTATAAATGCCATTGCAACCTTCTTGGTTCTTGTGTATCAAGTATTCCCAATTCTTTCCCATGTCTGGGATCAAAGGTCTGCAGGCTGGAACTCTTCCCTTCACATTACTTCTCAGAATTTGATGCCAATGGAAAAGGGAAACTCATTGGGCCCAAAATGATTCCCAAAACTTCCTCTGCTGCCTTTTCAGCATGCGGAGAAGCCCAATGGCAGCAGTTTCTGCATTATCAATATAGAAAAAGAGGCTGTGAGTAGGCTAGCAGTTGATCTCCTAATATTAGCTTTTAATATTTTAAGCACCTTTTAAAAATCTGGCAGAGCTATTTTCTGAGCTATTTCTGCTTTTTTTCCTTCTTCCTCTAATGGCATCTTATGACCACAGGTACAGTCAATTGAAAACACTTCCATTGCTTTTAAATGGAACATAATGGCAATAAGACATTTGTATACGTGTGTTTGCGTGTGCTAAATATCTGTTTTGATCCTCATAGATTTTTGAACAGGTCTTAAGTGAATTAGAGCCCCTTTGTCTGGCAGAACAAGACTTCATTAGTAAATTCTTCAAACTTCAACAGCATCTCAGCATTCCTGGAACACCAGTGGTATGAATCTCAATTTGGAAATTATTGACTCAGAACTAAATGGCTGTAACCTTAGCTCGATTTCCATCTAAACTTTTTTACTTCTTTTCCAGAGTGATACTGAGGAGACCGATGGAGGAACTTTAACAAAAGCACACAATATTGGTGGCCTGCAATCAGCATATTCTGAGTATGTTTCCAATTAGCAGAGGGATCTTCTGAACATGAAACACTCTTTGTGTCTTGAATAAATTGTGAGCCTTAGAAGTTGCTCAGGACTGTCTTGGAAGTTAGCAGCATATAAATCACATAAATAAATGTTCTGCTCATGTGGCAATGAATTAAAAACCACAGAAAATTGGTTTAGTGTTGCCTTAAGCGTGACATATTTTATTGCACTAGGCCAGGGGTAGGCAACCTTGGCTCTTTTATGACTCGTGGACTTCAACTCCCAGAATTCCTGAGCCACCATGGCTCAGCTTGGAAACCTCTCCCTTTCCCCTCAGCACAGCTGGCTCAGGAATTCTGGGAGTTGAAGTGCACGAGTCATAAAAGAGCCAAGGTTGCCTACCCCTGCACTAAGCTGCTCATAAATAAGGAAACTGTAGGATTTTATATAGAAGATTGGACTTCGTGGTGAAATTTTTGAAAAATTTCTCCCAGAATTATTTGAAATCCAATAATGAAGACAAGATCATCAGCAAATGGCAGCCAATGGATAACTGTCTGGGTTCAGAAAGTAAGAAAGATTAGACCTGGTTTGTACTAGGGCTCTAGCTCACAGTGAGAAGTTGAAAAGGTGCTGGAAAAAAGCAGATTTTAGGACATTTTTATAACAAATAATAATAATAATAATAATAATAATAATAATAATAATAATAATAATAATAATAATAATAATAGTAATAGTAATAGTAATAGTAATAATAATAATAATAATAGTAACAACAACAACAATAATAATAATCTAAATTTTTTGAATTAGGTAAGTTATTCTATCACAGAAATGTTGACACTGAATGAATGAAGCTCAGATTCCTGATCAGAATTGCTTAGTTTGAATAGAAAGGGTAAATGATCAACTTTGCTGCAGGATCAGAGGGATATAGATATTTGAAGTCTTTAGAATATAGAACGGGGCAAAAGTAATAACATAGTAGTCAAAAGAGAGAGTATAGTTTTACACAGAGCTAATGATTGGTATGCCAAAGTTTACTAATCTTGGATATTTCAGTGGTGGGTAAAGGCATTGATGTAAAATCAAAAGCACTCTCTTGGGTGGATAAATAGCTTCAGTTGCAAAAGGCAGCTTTTTGTGAACTAGAATTGTGATGAAGCTTTTAAAATCACAAATGTGTTCAGATACTCTATGGCAGTGATGGCGAACCTTTTAGAGACCGAGTGCCCAAACTGCAACCCAAAACCCACTTATGCATCGTCGGGTGCCGGGTGGGTGTGGCCCATTGGGTGGGCATGGCTGCGGTGGTAATGGCAGACTGGGTGGGACTAAAAAGTTCAATCAATCAATTCCAACTTTGCAAGATCTTTTTTTTTCCCCGCGAGAAGTTGAAATTGATTGATTGAACCTTTTTTTTTTGTAAACGGCGGCGGAGGCCTAAAGCGAAAAGGTTTTAACCCAGCTGAAAGCCTAGGACTGGGGCGACAGCGCGCGTGCCCACAGAGAGGGCTCTGAGTGCCGCCTCTGGCACCTGTGCCATAGGTTCACCATCATGGCTCAATGGTAACTTTAATTGATAACGAGAGCCATATTCTCTTTCTGGTCTTCTTTATCTCCCAAGGAGCCAGGCTGTAGGGAAGGGGCAAATGACTCTTACTATAGTCTCAATCACGTCCAGAAGGTTTTACAAAATAAGCTGAGAGCAACATGAAGCTAGTCATATGGCTGCTTATCGCCCCACTAAGTTGATAGTAGTGTTTCATTAGTGTTTTTTGAACTTGGCACTGACTGGGGAACTCAGATAATTGAAATGCACACTTCTTAAAATTGCTCAATTGGAAAAACACTACAACGGATCAACATTCATTTTCTCATAAGGCTCTGTGAGATGAATGCTGACTTAGAAAATTAAAAATAATCAAGTAATGTCCTTCTTAAAATATATGCTAAATCTCGATGCTTGCCTAATACCTATATAAGTATTATTAATATTTAAATACCCCATGCCCTCTGTTGCAGGAATCACATGATCCGGCAAATGATGACAAAAATATTTCGCTGTGTTGAACTAGAACTGAATAACCTCATTGCTCTGGGGGACAAGATCGACAGCTTCAATTCCCTCTATATGCTAGTGAAAATGAGTCATCATGTGTGGACAGCACAGAATGTGGATCCAACGTCCTTCCTTAGCACAACTCTTGGAAATGTTTTAGTGACTGTCAAACGAAACTTTGATAAATGCATTGTAAGTTTTAAGCACTTTGATGATTAGGTTGCATGCAGTTAGAATTCTGGATAAAGTTCAAGATTCAGAGTGAAACCATAAGATGGGGTGGCCTGCTTTGTGCTTTGGTATTGCCATAGTGTGTAACAATTCAGTATTGTGTAGATCAGTGGTTCTCAACCTTTTTAATGCCGCGACCCCAACCAGTTGTAAGTCGAGGACTAAACTGGTCGTAAGTCGAGGACTAAACCGGTCGTACGTCGAGGACTAAACCGGTCGTAAGTCAAGGACTACCCAACCGGTCGAAAGTCGAGGACTTTCCCTGCCCGGGAGCGCTGCGCATGCGTGGTTCCGCCCCCTGCGCCG